TAAAGTTTAGATATTTCTTTTGTATTAAGCAAAATTATATGTGTGTGTATATATATATATATATATAAAAGAGGACGATTATAAAGCCATTTCTTCAAAAATCTGTTTTGGGTTCAACCTTTTTTAAAACAATTAACTTTGTCGGGTCGAAATTAAGAGTTTAATATATTTTGTCTATACTTGGTTTAAATTATGATTAATTAATCCTTAACGTGTTGTCATATTTTATTATTATATTAATATTGATGATATTTAATTTTTAATATTCGATACAAATCTTTATTTATATTTTTCTTTTCTTGATTATTTGATTATTTTTCAATTCTTCTATTGTATGATTTTATTTTATAAAAATAAGTAAATTAAATTTCTCTTACGTATATTCATTTAATTTCTCTCAATTATTTTATGTTAATATTTGAATTAATAATTTTTAATATCATGTTTTATTATTAATCGATGATGCTTATAAATAATAGTATATGTTCTAAAGACTCTCAACAATTTGACATTGAACACATCTCTAGTACTCGAACATGAGACCTCTAGAAATAATAATTATTCTTTTGACCACGAAATTAACTTGGTTTGTACATTTTTAATATAACGTTGTTGTTTGTTTTAAAAGAAAACCGTTACTGTTATTAAAAATAGAAAATATACACAATTACAATGAAGATTTACGAGTATAAAAGTAAACTAAATTATAATTAGGACATTTTTCTAAATCATTGACATAAAAACTAACCACCTAGATCACACAAGGACTATAAAAAGAAAATGTTAAAAAAACCAAATCAATGCTCGAACAAAATAAGACATGAACAAATTTGACTGCATCAGCAAACGAACCATAAAAGAGGATAAAACTACTGAAAAACTACCGACAAATCGCAAATCAAAGTCAAACGACGTGAGAAAACTATTCACGAGCGCAAAACACATATCCAAATCAATCTGGGGGTCCAAAGCAGAGAATATCAAATGATAACAAATAAATGCCATCTTGATCAGTCGTGACGATGTCAAATCCAACCATGAGAAAAAGATAAACGAAAACAACGGTTAAACGACTGAAAACTACCAGAAGGCATATAAAAACATGTCACAAAGACAGAGATAAACGTGTCATAAAAGCATAGATAAATATGTCACGAAGACATAATTATTCTTATTAAAAAATTAAAAAAATAAAGAAAAAAAAATTGACGGTCAACAATTAGTATCAAAATCGGTGTTACTACCGACTAAATAAAATCAAAGAAGAAAAAATTGATTTGAGTTATAAAAATTGACATATTGAAAGAAAGAAAAAAAGAAAAAAAAAGGGAAGACAGGGAGAGAGAGAGCGACTAAGGTTTAATTTGATTAAAAGAATTGAAAACAACTATTAAAAAAATAAAACTAAAGCATAACGAAATTTATTTTTAATATAACGTTAATATGTTATAACTATGGTTTTTAGAATCGGACCGGTTAGTGAATCGGTCATGCTATCGGTTCATTGGTTCAATCGGTCGAATCGGTCCGATCGGTTGAAAGAACCGAACGACGTCATAATTATTTAAAAAATTAAATAAAAATACCAAAAATATTTAATAAAAAATAATTTTGTATATCACAAGTTATATTCAAAACAAGTCATAACATATATGAGTTAAAAACCATAAAATCAAGTGAAACAAAATGATTCAAATTAACTATAACATAATATTTAAGATAAAACATATTAAATAATAAATATAATTATCTAACTATAATTAAAAAATAAATTTGGGGCTAAAAAAATCATAACAAAATAATATTGTTTGGTTTAATTTTTTTTTAAAAACAATCTCACATGGCTAAGAAACATAGAAGAATATCCCAAAAGTCTAAAGAGTAAAAATATGATAACAAAACAATACACATGGCTAAGAAACATAGAAGAGCATCCCAATTAACTTCTATAAATAATAGAGGTAATTTGACATTCAAAATCATGGAGCCTTTTGGTGAGCATAGAGTGAACTATTCTTTCACTTCAATCAAGCTCGAATTTTAGGCTTCAATCGAGCTTCTAATTTTTTTTTTGAGTTCAAGCCTTTTCGAGTTCAAGTTTCAATATTATATTTCGAGTTCGAGTTGAACTTGATAATTTTTAGTTCGTGAGTTTGAATCGAGTTGAGCTTACTTTTAAAGTTTGAGTTGAGCTCAGCAATACTCGAGTTCGACTTGGCTCGTTTAACAAACGACGTCGTTTGGTTTAATTTAAAAAAAAAACAAAATTGGCGGTTTTTTTTCCAGTTTTTCCCTTTTTTTCCGGTTTTCAGCCAGTCCGGTTCGAACGGTTCTGACCGGTTCACTAATAACGATTTAACCGGTTTAGTTTGAACCGAACTATATAACGGTTCCCGATTAAACCGGTTGAACCGGCCAGTCCGATCCGATTTTCAAAACAATGGTTATAAATTTTTATATAGATTCGAGATTTTCAAACTTTAATGAACACACATTTAAGCAAATATATAACATAAAAAACTGTACTATTTATTTTGTTCGCGTATTTTTCACTTATGGTTGTATTTAATTTTCAATATTTATATACTTTTTAATTAATATTATATAAATAAATATAGGGAAAATGTAAAAAAATCCTCAATTTTTTTATTGATTGCTTTTTTAATATTTTTAAATTTACTAACTTGACATAAAAGGGGCCTAAGTAATGGAGGTTTAAGTAATCAATTTTAAAACTAAACGATCAAAAAATCAATGTGCATAACTTTTACATAATAACAAGTTCACCAAAATTAAAAATTGTATATAGTCACTTGAACAATCTCGTCCTCAAAACATTCTTTAAAGTAAATTCATCGATCTAATTTTCACAAGCAATTTTATCTAGCACCTCATTCTCGATTACCACTATTGCTAGTCCATCAAACTTATCTTGAGACAGAATTACGCAAGTAAGACTTGAGTAACTTCGACTTTGAAAAACTTCTTTCGGCTCTTGAGATAACATAAAGGGAGAAAATGAGAAGGAGAAAATAAAATTAGGTGGTATCTTTGTAGGTTTAATTAGTAAGATTAAATAAAAAAAAGTTAACGTTAATAAAAATTTGAAGGAGTTTAAGAGTTAATTGGAGAGAAAAATTGAGAATTAAATGAAGTGAAAAAAATATTGAAGATGGAGTGGAGCTGTGGAGTTTAAATCGGTTAGCATTTATGTTTAATATTAATTTTTTATTTTTTAAAGGTGGGGCCTTTCAAAGAGGGCTCTAGAGCCATCGTTTCGACTGCTCTTGTTAGGAGCCGGGCCTGATATTAATAGTACGAATCAAGTGACTTCAACTTTAAAAAAATCATTATTATTTTTTTAAGTATTAGATTCTAGTTTTAAGAATATCAGGAGTGTGAGCATTTAATATTAAATGATTGAATGTTATCCTTAAATAGATACTGTTTTGTAGTTACCCTAGATTAATTGAAAAAATAAATTAGTGAAAATTTGTCAATTTATAAAAATATATATAATAAAACCCACGTGGGATATGTTTCATAGCTATCAAAAAAACTTAATTTCAAACATTTATTGAAAATAATAAAATATATTTGGAATTTGTTGAAATGTAAATGAGTCCCACCATTGTTATAATAAAGTCTAAGTGCATGTACACAGATCTTAGCTTCGGTCCCACATAGTTAAAACTTACTTAAAACACAAACAACGAAAAAAGGGTTGGGATCTTATGGGCTGCAAAGCCAATTTATAAAATAAAGGCTAAATTCAATATTTAGTATTCCGATTATCACTTTTGTTCTATTTTAGTCATCAACCAATTACTTTTTTTTAAATCATACCTAATGTTACGTTTTGATTTCATTTTGGTCAACCTCGTTGAAAAATTAACAGAACTGCTTATGTGGATCAATGATGATGTGACATTACCTTATGGTGATACATCAACATCATCATTAATTTTTAACGGTGGGTGGCTAAAATGAAACCAAAACATAACGTTGTGTATAATTTTAAAACGAAAAATAGTTAGACAACCAAAACGGAACAAAAGTGACAATTGAGGTATTAAACTTGAAGTTTACCCTAAAAATTATAAATACTTACATGAATTAAAGTTAAACTTAAGGACCGATTTAAATAAAAATACTAAATTTAGGTACCTTATTTAGTTTTAACAGTTTGATATCTAAATATTTTAGGACTAATTAGATATATAAATATAATTTTTTATTCAAATAAATACTTGAAGTTAATTCTTAATTAATTTAATTTATCAGAGTTGGGTGAACTCACAACGCAGAGTTTGTAGTTTATTGATTGGTCCAACTTTAGTGGGCGATTGTTCTACGACAAGGCTTAAGGTTGTTTTGGTCAAAATCTCACATCCAATTCAATAATCAATAGTATAAAAAAGGCTATATATATATATATATATATATGTATATATTGATAAATAAATTTCATTTCAAGATTTAGTTTATTATATAATTTTTGACTAATTTGATATATAAATATTATTTTTTATTCAAATAAATACTTGAAGTTAATTCTTAATTTAAATTAATTAATAAATATATATTTAAAATAGAAAAATTAAATTTTTGCACAAATTTAAATCCAAAAAACAAATTAGACAAAAAATTATATAATAAACTAAATCTTGAAATGAAATTTATTTATCAATATATACATATATATATATATATATAGCCTTTTTTATACTATTGATTATTGAATTGGATGTGAGATTTTGACCAAAACAACCTTAAGACTTGTCGTAGAACAATCGCCCACTAAAGTTGGACCAATCAATAAACTACAAACTCAACTTTGCTGCTTGTTTTTTACCCTTCAACTAAATACTTATTTAACCAGCACATGATTTATATCCACTTTGAGCAGAAACAAGGGGAAATTGGGTTATTTTCAGTGCATAATATCTAAGAAAAACACATGGATGTTTGTCAGAAAAAACATGGTCTTTTTCTAACACCATAAAAAAAAATGAGTGAACAAAAGCAACGGGGAGAAATATATTAATGCCACTTTAGCCATTTCATTATTTTTCTCCTCTCTTCATTCCACTTGCAGCTGGTACTTTACTCTGTCTCCTCTCTTAGGGTTCTTTCTCTTTTTATTGTTGATAAATTTGCACCTTTATAAGCTGATTTCATATGAAGATTTGTTCTTTTTGATGGATTTTTAACTTATTTGTTAACTGTGGTTTGATGGTAGTATTGTTTCATGCTATATCCATGTCTTACTGCTTAGATTTGTGGTTTCTGCATGAGATTTTCTTATTGTTTGAAGTTTCCATTTCTGGATTCAATGAAATTTGTTTATTTTTTTAAAAAAAAACTTCTTTTTCCAGTGTGATTTATGATATAGAATTGGATGAGGAAAATACTGTTGTTGGGGAAACATTGATTGTTTTATGGGCAATACATGTCGTGGATCTTTCAAGGGGAATTATTTTCGGGGCTACAACACCACCACTTGTTCCACCTCTGATTTTACCGCTTCTCAACAGCTTATTTCCCAGGAATTCTCTGAAGAAACAACGAAAAACGATACCCTTTTGGCTCCCATCAGCCCCACCAAGAAATCCGACGCCATGGGACGAGGCATCGTTCACCAGGCTTCTTATGTTTTGGGTCACAAGACTCCTAATATCAGTGACCTTTACACTCTAGGCCAAAAACTAGGACAGGGACAGTTTGGGATCACTTGCTTATGTACCGAGATTTCCACCGGCATCGACTATGCTTGTAAGTCGATACCGAAAAGAAAGTTGATTTGCAAGGAAGATGTGGAGGATGTGAGGAGGGAGATTCAGATAATGCACCATTTGGCGGGTCACAAGAACATCGTGACGATTAAAGGCGCTTACGAGGATCCTTTGTATGTGCATATTGTGATGGAGCTTTGCTCTGGAGGTGAACTGTTCGATCGTATTATCCAGAGAGGGCATTACACTGAGAGGAAGGCAGCTGAGTTGACTAAAATCATTGTTGGTGTTGTTGAGGCTTGCCATTCGCTTGGTGTCATGCATAGAGATTTGAAGCCTGAGAATTTCTTGTTAGTTAACAAGGATGATGATTTCTCGCTCAAGGCCATTGATTTTGGGCTATCGGTTTTCTTTAAACCCGGTAATCAATTGGACTTTCTTCCTTAATTTTGCAACTTACTTAACTGGAACACATACCAAATGATTATTTGATAGTCTTTTTATGGCATGTTCAGTCCCCTACTTAATCCTCTTTTAGTAAGTTGATTAGTCGATCTTGTTTAAACGTGATTCTTAACCTTTAGCATTTAAACTTAATGCATACTTCCTTAATGGGTGAATTTCATTCCTTAGTGAGTCCGAGTGATTTCAGCCCCTCTAGTTAATAATGAAACCAATGTCTTTTTGAATGTTGTTTACTACTTCAGGTGAAGTCTTTACCGATGTTGTTGGAAGCCCATATTACGTCGCTCCTGAAGTTCTCCGTAAACAATACGGACCAGAAGCAGACGTATGGACTGCTGGAGTTATACTCTATATATTGCTTAGTGGTGTACCACCATTTTGGGCAGGTATTTTCTATATTTTTGGTTCTGCATTAGAATGGAATTTCAGATAATTTGATGTATAACATACTTTTGAACCTCCCTCTGCATGTTCTTTAGAAACACAACAGGGAATATTTGATGCTGTGTTAAAAGGATATATCGACTTCGACTCAGATCCATGGCCCCTAATATCGGATAGCGCGAAGGATCTAATCCAGAAGATGTTATGCTCTCGGCCTTCAGAGCGGCTGACTGCTCATGAAGTATTATGTATGTGATATGATATTAATTTTTCTTAACTGATGAGTAAAAGATCACTCTGTTGGTCAGTATAGTTTGTTACCTCCTTGGTGCATTTGTTTACGTTCTCGTTACTGAAATGAAGTTCAAATTGTGATATCATTTTCCTTTGGAGTTGTTTAGGTCATCCTTGGATTTGTGAAAATGGGGTTGCCCCGGATAGGGCACTGGATCCGGCTGTGCTTTCTCGTCTCAAACAGTTCTCGGCAATGAATAAATTAAAGAAGATGGCTTTACGGGTAAGAAACACTATTTATATGCACAGATACTTATATCAGACAGCGTCTTCTTCAAACAATGAAGGGTTGTTACCCAATCAATACAGCAGAATCGAGCTGTTTGTCTCTTAAACAAGGAATGCCCTATTTTTGTTCAAATGTTTATCTGTCTGGCTGCTCCTTGTACTTGCTATGTTCAGAGTTCAGTCTTCAGAACCATGAGCTTCATGTTGGCTTTAAACATGCTCCTTTTGGAGTTAAGGCTGTCGAATTCATTCTGACGTACAAAATTCTTCCCTTTTGTGCTATCAGGTAATAGCTGAAAGCCTCTCCGAAGAGGAGATTGCTGGTTTGCGAGAAATGTTTATAGCTATGGATACCGATAACAGCGGTGCAATCACATTTGATGAACTCAAGGCTGGTTTCCGGAGATATGGTTCCACCTTGAAGGATACAGAGATAAGGGACCTGATGGATGCAGTAAGTTTGTTTTCGAAGCAGATATCTAAATATTTGTTTCATTTTCAAGCTTTTGTTCTTTGTATTCCTTAGTATATCTTGTATTGCTTCTTGCTTCTTTGGTATAAATGTCGGTTTATATTTTTTCTTGAGTTTGTGACGGATGCAGCAGTTGTGCCCTCTCTAGATCATTTTTTAGTTCTACCATGAAGGCGATTTTAGCAGATAAGCATGGAGTAGAATGGTTGACGTTGCAACGACTTATTTGGCCGGCTGCGATAGCTCGTCTTCACTTGTGTTTACGGATACACTTTTGCACAATTATGGGGCTGTTCTTATTATGTTATTCATGTGGTAAATGTTAATTGCAAGTTTGCAACCCAAATAATCTAAGTTATTTTATATGTTCGCAGGCCGATGTTGACAATAGCGGGACCATCGATTACGGTGAATTTATAGCTGCAACCGTTCACCTTAATAAACTAGAGCGGGAGGAACATCTCGTTGCAGCATTCCAGTACTTTGATAAGGATAAAAGTGGCTATATTACGGTTGATGAGCTTCAGCAAGCTTGTGTTGAGCATAACATGACAGATGTTTTACTCGAGGATATAATCCGAGAAGTCGATCAAAATAATGCAAGTCATTTCATACCTTGATGTCTGTATTCGTTACAATATGCTCATGCTTGCCATTTTATTTCATTCATATTTATAGTTGTTTTCTCATATGGTTGAGCATGGCACTGATAACAGCAATGTAGAATTGCAGTTCATAAATTTTGTCTACGACTTGCCGTTGATAATACCATGTCAATTTACATCAAACAAAGTAGTGGACTCTCTGGAAGAAAGCTCTCTTTCGAATAGATTTTTTTCTTTTTCCTCTTTTCGGGTCTGTTTGTTGATTAAGTTTCAACATTCTGCAACATCTGCTTTATTTCAGGATGGAAGAATCGACTACGGTGAATTCGTTGCCATGATGCAAAAAGGCAACGCAGGAATCGGTAGACGAACCATGAGAAACAGTCTGAATATGAGCATGAGAGATGTGTTGGGTGCTCAATAATTTATGGCCAGGCACATCATTTACAGGTAAAAGAAGAGCGTTAGAAAACTCGATAACTTTTATGCCAACTTTCTGTGACTGCGCATGTAATTTTTATGCTTGTTGGCAGATTGTACAGCAATGGCAGAAGAGAGAAGATCCAGGACTAAGCTTAATCAGCTTTGGCTCCTCTGATGAAAGAAATGGTTGCAGAAAGTTGTTTTTTGAGCATTTTCTTAGATGTTATTGTTTTATAATGTTGTATGGCCAATCATAAGTTTTTTGAACTTGAAGAGTGTGTGATGTTGCAATTAAATTACCAAAAATTATGAGCAAATAGAGGGGTTTTGAAGGGATCTGATCTTTGATGAAACTTAAAACATAATGAGAAATGCTTGCCACACAAGTCTATCAAAAGAACCAATCGTAAGGACTCGGTATCCTTAGGAACCACTTGAAGGCAACATATGAAGGTTAAATATGCTATATATATATATATATATATATATATATATATATATACCTCCAAACGCCTTCATCAAATCCATCCATCCATCGAATCTTCTCGACTTATTATTCGAAAACAAAAATGGCCATCTCTTTGCTTTCCAAACTCTTCTCTCTGCCATTCATGGCTTCCCATTTCATGTTTGCAGCTCTGGCTCATGATTTCTCCATAGTGGGTTATTCACCAGAGGATTTGAGTTCCAGAGCTAAGCTCTTTGAGTCCTGGTTATCCAAGCATGGAAAAATTTACGAGTCCATCGATTTCTCCTGGAGACTTCAAGAGCAAGTATTTGGGACTCAAATCACAGGTTTTTAAAAAGAGAATCGCCTGGAGACTTCACTTACAGAGATTTCATTGATTTGCCAAACTCTGTTGATTGGAGAAAGAAAGCTGCTGTCACCCCTGTCAAGAATCAAGGCTCTTGCGGTAAGAGATTCCTCCTTGAACCCAAATATCCAATTCAAAAACTTGAATTATGCATGAATATTGTGCTTGCAGGTAGCTGTTGGGTTTTTTCGACCGTGGCAGCCGTTGAGGGCATAAACAAGATAGTAACAGGGAACTTGACTTCTTTGTCCGAACAACTCATCGATTGCGACCCGTCTTTCAACAGAGGCTGCAATGGAGATCTTATGGGTTATGCATTTGAGTTCATCATTGCCAATGGTGGACTTCACAGAGGAAGATTACCCCTACCTCATGGAAGAAGGTACCTGTGAAGAAAAGAAGGTCCGTACATACACAAGGAGGATATACATGCATGCATGCATGCATACACTAATGGCTTGTTTGATAAATGATGTCTCTGGTTATATATTCAAGAGGAAACCGATGTAGTGACGATCAGTGGTTACCACGATGTACAGGAAAACGATGAGCAAAGTCTCTTGAAAGCCTTGGCTCACCAACCACTCAGTGTAGCCATCGAAGCTACCGGCAGAGATTTCCAATTCTACAGTGGGGTAAAAACCTTGTAATTTTAGCTTCTTTTTCTTCATATATTCAAGCAAAAAGATCATAGAGATTTAACACATGGCGGTGTTTTCTCGAACTCTCGATTTGCAGGGAGTGTTCAACGGTCAGTGTGGAACCGAGCTCGATCATGGGGTTGCAGCAGTTGGCTATGGAACATGGAAGAACGAAGATTACATAATCGTGAAGAACTCCTGGGGACCGAAATGGGCAGAAAAGGGGTACATAAGGATGAAGATGAAAACTGGAAAACCTGAAGGGCTTTGTGGTATTAACAAAATGGCTTCATATCCTACGAAGAAGTGAAGATATGATTTCATGATCGTTTTTAAGAACTTCTCCATAGATTGTTGGCCTGCATTTGCCATGTTCCTTGATCAATGCTTAATAAAAATGGTTTACAATTTCAGTTTCGCTTGAAAAAAGTTTTTATATATATAAAGATAATTACAAGATAGTATATGTTCAAAATCTTTTTAATCATTGGCAACGTACGTATACCTACGTACACTGCTACTTGAACCAAAAATAGTATGACAGCGTATGCCAACTTGCATATATTACATGGTTTTTTTAATAGTGTGGAGCGATACAAGGTATAATCTGTTTAAAATTTTTCTAAGCTTATTAATACGCACATATCTTATAGAAAGAACATTTTTTTTACCACTAATATCACCTAACGAACGAATGAAAAATAATGAACGAATAATAATGAATGAATAATAAGAATCACACTTATAAGTAATGATGAAAGATTATTATATTCCTATTGATAGTAGTAGATGGAAAAAATAAATAAAAGTTTATTCCAATATGTGTTCTTAACACATTCGAACAGATTAAGATCCATTCCATTATTATTTTATCGATTAATAAATAAATTATCATTATTTGGATGAGTAAAACTCAACTCATTTAAAAAAATTAATTTTTTTCCTTGACTCTTAATTTTATAAACTTAACTCGAAAAAAAATTAAATTCAAGTTGAATTATAAAATAGAACTTGAATAACTCAATTTTTTAAATAATTAGTAAATTGATTTTTAAGTTAAAGTCGAATCCCTCAACTTTGCATAATGTAAGTAAATTGTATATGAAAAACATATAAATAAATATATATGTATACTATATATAATTATAGAAAATCGTTTAAATTGAAATCAAATAGCATCATAATACTATAAATATTTACAATTAAATTTAAACAAAAACTTGAACAACTCGTCATGAAAATTTTTTGAATAAAATTTGAGATGTAAAATAAAACTCGCTAATTCAAATAACTCAAAAAATTACTCACCTCATTCCAATACTCACCCCTACTTACCATAATGTGTAAAACTCACATATAGTTTGTAGTAAATTGTAGTGGACGAAAAACTAACCCCAGGTTCTAAATTTGAAATTAATTTATAAACGTTAATTTGACATAAATTTAATCAACAATATCTGAAACAGATGGTTAAAAAGCTCTCGGTTGACATATATCTTCTCCCTTAGGCTGTGGATGTACCCATTAGGAGCAAAAATGTTCTTCCCCTCCCGTAGGTAAAAATTGTTAAAAAAATTGACAGATATATTATCATAATGCAATTGATTAGTTCAAATATTAACAACTTCCTGATATTTTTATAATATTAATATTGCCAGTTAATCCAAATCGTAAACTCAAGAAACATGGAACAAAATGTGGGAAGAAAATTTATCAGATAATAGTTTGCATTACATGTATATGTTAACCCTACCTTGAATGTATTCAAGTTTCGTCAAATAATAGTTTGCATTCCATGCATATGCAGAGTAAATATGAAGCGCATGTAAATGGTTCTCACATTTCATTTGTTTGATTTAAGTGGTTGGGAGCATCTGGCTGTTCAAACCCCAACAAATTCGTTGTATTTAAACACGCAGTCGTATAGCCGTCCGCCGAGAAACTGGGCGACTTCGTGATGTTTTACCTGTGAAATTACATGTTCAAACAGCATCAAGTTGTGCAAGTTCATGAAATGTTGCAAAAGCAATGCAGATGGAAGTGAAAACTTTACCATTCCAATCTTGACTGAATCACACTTGAACTGAGCATAAAGATTGGTCTCTATTCCACGACCCTGAAAAAACATATACATATAGAACCCCACTATGTCAGTTACATACAGTTGATCGAAAAGTGTTAAATCCGAGCATAAAACCCTGGAAGCAAACTAACCCATAGTCAGTTGATCGATAAACATCGACACAATCTATAAGCAGTAAATTATAAACAACCCAAAGCTACTTTTTTTCATAAGAATTGGAGGTCTCGATAAAAACCCCTTCAGATTTCCCAGAAACCGAGTAGGCTTCACGACAAAAAGCGAAAGGAGGAAGAGAGTACCTCAAGTTTTATTAATAAAGAGGTTAAAAAAACCCCAAGATTACAAACTACCGATCAGATAACAATACAAACACAACCATTAAAGCTAATTACCACCACACCCAATCCTAAAGTTAACCAATCCCCTTCTTAGCTAATTCATCAGCCTCCCATAGCTACCTATTCGAATAGCTTGGATTTGCTTTGGGTTCTTGTCACATTCTCAAAGTCCTAAGGCCAAACATAAATAAAAACTGGAAATCTGCTGGATTATGAAAAAACCTACCATGCCTTCCAAAATAACTAGGTCTGCGTCACTCGACAGGTAGGCGAGCTCCTGTGATACTCTCGTAAGATCAATAACCTACAAAAACAGAAGAAGTCATCACTTCATCGACTAAATGTAAATTCTTTATCGGGTTTGGATGCATTTGGAAAAATAGTATAATTATATCTTACCGGCAAATCATTACCAGAATTGGCAATCAAAAGATTTTTAGCATCAACACCAATAAGGTTACCACTTTCATCCTTCAACTGGTAAATAAGCATTTAATATATTAGAGACAGCCCAAAAAAAAGAGAATAAAGGAAATATAATGATAATTATCTATAACTGTTTTCCTTTCCATCACCTTCGATATAATTTCAACCAATTCGGGATAAGTTATATCGTTGATGGAAGGCAAGTCATTAGCTGGCAAGACAACCTGAGCAAAGAGGAAGAAAATATAAACATAATTCTATTAGATCTTTTCACTAATTCTTATCGATCACGGTTCAATCTGTTGCCTACCATATGAAATAACGAACACAAATGTGCCAGGATTTAAGTTATTTATATATATATAAATATGACAGGCCTTAAAGTTGTTGAAACCAATAAAATACACACGCCACAAACTTATTTAACATATACATAAATTAAAGAAGTACATGAAAATGTTTTCTGATTTTAATTGCAAACCTGGGTCCCACGTTTTAGCAACTCTCTCGCAAATGGAAAAATACCCAAGATCACATCTGCGCCAGAGTTATCGACAAAAATGATTGTCTGCAATTGAAATAAAAAGAAAAGTTGGAAATAAAATACATACAGAATCATCAACTTTTAATTTTAGTGAAGAAGTGAGCGTTGATGTCTTAATTATGCATTAGGTTGACTTGCCTTTTTCCAAGATTTCGTGTTCCATTTTGCTTTAAAAGTGTCAAAGTCATCAATGACCCAAGGACGAGGAACAAGATTTTGACAAGTAGCCAAGAAGGTCATCCCGTCCCTTGAGAAAACCTCAGCAAGCTTCCAAAAGTAAGAGAAAATAGCACAAACAAAAAGAAAGTACCACCGCAAAAGTTATCCTATCAT